TGGGTGAAGCACAGCAGACTGAAGTCTTTCTGTTCACGGATAAAGGGCAAGACCCTTTAGTAACACTGACCACCATCATACAGTTTGAACTACCAACACATGGTGGACAAATATCGGTGACTAAGCACAGATGTAACTGCTCTTTAGTCAAGCAGAACTGAAAACCTGTCTCGCTGAGCTGACAGTCCAACAGCATCTCAACTCTCAGCATCAATAGCAGCTTGATAATCAGGACTACCTGCACACGTCCTATATTAGACTCACTGTAAGTTTACAGCTGAGTTACAGAGCAGTATGATTAAGCGTAGATGTGTAGAATCTAGTTACATCAGAAGAAGACCACCACAGGACCAATTCATCATTTACCCCTAAGGCTGCAGACGCATCATTTCACCATTGAAGACTAATCATTCAGAAACTACAAGGAATTATTTGCTAAGTACTGGAAAACCGAAATGTAAGTTATGTAGTTAAGTAAGAGTGTAAGTAAAAGTGACAACATATTTGTGGGACCATATATGGGCTTTTAGGGTTTAAAAGTTTAAAGGAAAACATCATGTTTAAACCTTACACCACATGCAGCCAATCAGCCATTTTGAATTTACAGGAGCCACAAAACTAATATAATATAAATCTATGTCATCTAGACTTACCTAGACCAAGACTGTTAGTGTAAAACTAAGGAAGCAAACTTTGGACACTAAACACGTCTTGGCTGATTGGGTGCATTTGGGGTAAATTGTGTACATTTGACATTTTGATGAATCATTCTTTTAAGAGCACAAAATATTTCCTGATTATCTGGTTCTAAAATGTTATTGGCTGAGCCATATTTGAGGCCACTGTAAAATATTTGATATGCATACATATGACTGTATACAGTCATTGAATTCTGGGATAATGCTCTAAATTATTATGTTGTTTGCCAACCACTGCCTACTGTTAACAAACTACACTGCTTAGTGGAACAGCTATTACAACACTGTGCAAAAGTCAGAGACCACCCTTCATTTGTTTAATTTCCAGTCAAAACAACCAAGTTAATGATTTTCAGGAGATATTTCTTAGAAAAAACAGATACAAGATAATCCACTTGAATAAGGAAGGAGGAAAAAAGTGAAAAAAAAAACATAAGTTTTCAAAACTAGAGACTAAAATTATTAGAAGATGTAGATAAAATGAGACTCCTAACAACAGTGGAAGACCTAGTAGATCACCACAACTGCCACCATCAGATAAACAGTACTTAAAGCTTTCCTCTTTGAGAGAGAAGAGAAAATCAAGCTCCACTCTTGCTTCAGATCTGAAAAAATCCACGGGTGTTTCTCTCCATCCTTCCACTGTTAGAAGACAGTTCAGCACTATGAGTCTGAAAGGATGAGCAGCTGCCAAGAAGCTGTTACTGAAAAAATTGGAAATTGAACAAATAAGCTGCTGGTGGACTGACCACCCCAGAGTCCAGACCTCAACATCACTGAATGTGTTTGAGACTACTGGGATCTTAAGAAGCAAAAAATGCAGCCAACTTCTAAGACTGAACTTCAGAGGTGTGGAAAAATATCCCTGCAGATTTCTTTGAAAAACTGGAAGCAAGTCTTCTCAAAAAGAATTGAAGCTGCAATAAATGAACTAAATATTATTAAAAATCAAACATTTAATTGTTGAGTAATTTTCTGATGTTTTCTGCCCTTTTCTTGACACCGAAAAATGAATAACATACTTACTGTCCATTTGAGTGACAATAAAATAAATGAAGGGTCTCTGACTTTTGAACAGTACCGTGTTTGAACATTTTTGCATTTTGTTTCCACTTTAGAATGTTTTGCACTGCGCCTAACAGCCCCTTTTCTGTAACACATGGCCTTGTGCTGTATTGCTTTATTTTTCCATCAAATTTCAAATTATTTAACTGAGAGCTGAAAAATTAAATAAGTTAAGGTTCTCTCTAGACGATCTCAGCAGCCTTGATTTAGGCTGTGTTGTGCTTCTGAGTGAAAGAGTGTGCTGCATTAGATGAAGGACAGATTTTGGGTGTGGGAGACTCTGATAAGCTCTGTGTGGAGATCATAAAGGGAAAATCACAGCATAACAGCAACGTGTTGCACTTGCTAACAAAAAGTAATCACATTCAAAGCGACTGTTTACCCTTGCGGTGATTCACACAGCATAAACAATGTTTACTTGTTAGACGATTAAAGGTCATATACAATAACAAACACATGCACTATACCGCGATTGGATTTAACCTCTTTAATAGTAATAACAGTTAGCTACATTAGACACTATGTTGCATTACCTTACAACTGACTTAAATGTTTGCAGTGGACTACATTTGCACTCTCACTCGTGCATGCCAGCCATCACTCTGTTTATGCCATCTCAGATTGATATGCTCTTAACTGCAGCAGACATGATCCTAATAGGCCGGTGAAATGTACAGTAATTGCTGACTGATATATAATCTAAACCACTCTGCTTTGATAAGTGTGCCAAGTGGATGAAAGAAAAACAAAGGTGTAGAAACTCTACCATAGACACTCCAACTCAATCAGCCATTTGTAACATGCAAAGTTTTTTCATCATATCAATCCAAAAATTTACCTTAAGAACACAATGTGAATCCAACAAGACCATACTTGCACAATAGGCCCTGTGATACAACTCACATGTAGGCCTAATTAGACTACACAAACGCCTAAAACTATATTTACACTGTAAAATGCTGTTAATAATGTGTAGTAGTCTACAACATCTTCTTGTAATAGAACTAAAATTGTCAGACTTTACAGTAATTACCGTAAGCTGTTGTTCACAGAATACTTTGGGGAAGTGAGCGGTTATTTGTGCAGTCCAGTATTCTTTGTGGTTTTGTTAATTTCTTTATTTCGTCATCCATAGTTCCTCTCCCTTTCGTCTTTTTTTCACATATTATTTCAACCTAAAGACATTTTCAATCCACTTCGCCTTTTGATATTCCAAAATGATGGTGTTTTGTGTTTAAAGGGCCGACATTGTGGAAAACTGATTTTCCCACCTACGGTTTAGCCCCGCCCACTCACGCTGAGGTTATAAGGAACATTTTAACTTAAACTGCTTTTTGAATGATGCACAATACAGGATAACTAATCAGAACAGAGCTCATTTACATACACAAGCCTTAAATGGCCACTAAAAGCCTGTTTCATTCTAAGGGATACAAAGACGTTGGAAAATGGTCACATATAAAATGAATTATGACTTTTTGGTGCATAAAAACACACTGCCAGCTTTACAGTCATAAAGACTGCTATAAGTGCATATAATGTCTTGTGTATAAGGTGTGATGAACAGATTAGCATTACTGTATTTAGCAGAGTGATTATACTGTTGGCTTTAAAAATCTGTAAATAGCTGGAATTCAATAATGTGTAATATTTCTCTGTAAGTTTTATTAACTCAATGTTTTTTTTAATTTCTTTACAAATTTACAGTATGTGTCTGGTAACTCTACTTTACTGTAAATGAATTTACTGTAATTTTTGGATAATACTACTGTAAAATTCCTTAAAATGTAATCCTGTAAATAGACTGAAGGTTTACTGTTAAATGTACTGTATTTTTTCAGTGTGAACTGGTTTCACAAATAAAGTGTAAGTCTACTTTCTTAGCTTTTAATGTCCTTATGATGCTAAAATAAGTAAACAATGGGGTGCAGATTTCATTTGTGTGGTGTGTCAGAATAAAGCCTCTTTGCTTTGTTCCTTTATTTCACTCCACACACGCCACTTTGAAGGGAGGTGTTGATTCAAAACATCAGCAGATGCCCAAAAATGTTATGCAGGAAGTGCAACTTTGATTAGCTTTGCTGCACAGGAATTAGCAAAATGCATCAAGGCTTAAGATGGCGCAGTAAAAGTTGGGGGTTTTCCAATTCCAAAAGTGACTCCAAAAAGAGGTGGGTAGGAACCAGTTACTTTTCCTCAGCTCCAGGCTAACATTTTAATGAATTTGTACTTCTAAACATTTTCGAATGACAATGATATTCAAGCACATTGGAGGGAAAGTCCTCAGTTACATTTCAGTAGTTCACATTTAGGTCTGAAACTCTTTTGGGGTTCATTTCATTCTGCTCTGTTGGATCAGGAGCTGGAGGCTTTGCTGCTGCTCACACCTCTCGCAGCTTCAGCACCTCATTTTAGATCAAGGGGACCCAAAAAGAAGAGAAGAACAGAGCAGAACTAACTTCAGTTGCTGTTCTAGGAGATTCTGAATATTCTGAGTAGATCCACTGCAGTTCTGAAGGGAGTTCAACATTTTTTATTTACATTTACTCAGGTTGGTGTTTACTGGCTGCTTTTACTTCAAGTTAACACGTGATTATAGTTCGAATTGGAATTTTTCCGTTCCACCTTAAGTGTACTGGCGCCAGAACGTAACTGCTGCACCATTTAAGGTGGAACGGAGAATTCGAAAGAGACTGGCGGACAGGAAGCCGATTTCAGCCTCGTAGCTCCAGGTCAGCGTGTAGCAGGTGCTCAGTTCAGTTCAAGAGCTCAACTGCCTCCTGACTCGAGACTTACATAAAGTTTGTCGCTAATGTTCGCCAAAAAGTACCACACAGGGGTCAGAGCAGTGTACAGTACACGCTCAAGAAAGATGGTTCTTCAAGGGTTCTTTAGTAAAGGAAATGGATCTAGCAGGAATGATGAGCTCTATATAGAACCACTGCATCCTTTAAAGGTTCTGTGCATGGTGAAATGGTTCTTTAGACTGATGGAGAGTGTCAGAGTTCTGCTACTGTAACGATGAACCCTTTTTTTCTGGTGCGACATCCATTTTCAGAAAGGTTCTATATAGAACCATATACAACACATTCTCCATTCTTCAAGCATGAAATTGTTCTATATAGTTCTATATGGTTCTAAACAGAAACAGCACCACTGCCTCTCTTAAAGAACTCTTGAAGAACCATCTCAGTTAGTGCAGAGCTGGACTCAGGCTGCTGATGAGAGGTGACTCACATGAACGCGTGGTAGATGAAGGCCCATCCTCGCGGCCTCTCCAGCACGTTGTACAGGCAGTTCTGCAGCTTCCTGTAACGCTTGCTGGACGCCGAGGCGGCGGCGCGCGCTCCCGGCGGCACGGGCAGCGGCGTTCCCAGCAGCCCCGTGCGCTGCGACGGCGGCTGCGCGCGCTCCGGGCTCGACGGCTCGCTCCGGTCCGCGTGCACGGCGGCCAGGGCCACGAACTCCACGCGCCTGTCGTCGCCGGGGCCCGGGGGCGCCAGCATCCTCACGCCGCCGTTATTGGAGGGGCTTCCCAGCATGGCTGTGCGGAAACAAAGCCTCAACCGGGCAAATGAAACTCCGCCATAAGCGTCCGAGTGATTTATGGGGGGGTGCGCGCGCACGAGCGAGTCCTACAGCTCCCTTCGCCTTTCGATAGTGAAAGAGTCAGACGAGCGCGCGAAAAGTCACTCCGAGCCGTTGGTTAAAGCCATGGCTTCGGTCAGCGCGCGTGAAAAGTTTGCATGCCGCTTTCAGCGCAGCACGGAGCCGCGGGAGCAGAAGCGCGCGCGAACCATCGCGATCCAGCCGTTCCAGCTGTGACTTCAGCGCGTCAGGAAAAGTTCGGCGAGCCGCGCCGGCCCGTAGCAGGAGCGCGAGCACTTCATGGCGAGAAGTGTTTGGGGGCGAACAGCGCGAGGAAGAGCAGCACAGACACGCACACGCGGATGAAGTTCTGCTCCAAACCCTCAGTCAGCTGTGCTGGACACACCGGCCCGGGAGCGAATAGCGAAGGACACGTGCTCTCCCAGTTAAAGCAGCGCTGCTCTCCGCTCCGTTAAGCTGTTCACACGTCGTGAAGTTCTGAAAAGAGCTCAGTGCCCGCGAGGTGGGACCCTCAGCAAACAGCCCTCCGCTGTGGAGGGGAAAAAAACACACGAGCTCAAGGGAAAGATACTGCGCACGGAGGAGGTGGGGGTGGAGGGGTACTGTAACACCACTGTGTTTATCTGGACCTCACATTCTCTCTGTATGTTGTGAATGTACTTTCTAATGAGACTATAATGTACAGAGTGTACGTGTTTTAACATAAACACTTCACTTATTACAAAATGTGAGAAGTAAGAACCAAGAGCTTGAAAGAGAGAGCTTGATTTATCATAAATCATAAATACAACTAACTGTATCATCAACACAACTTGCATCCATATATATAAAAGCACATAATATATTACACAGAAGGAGGGGGGGTGGGGAGGTCCCAAACCTCCCCTAAGAGTGAAGGGACCCCCATAAGAGAGACAAAATTGAACTAGTGGGGTCCTGTATTATTTCCTTGAACAAAATTTTTATTTTCTGACAAAATAAATGCCCTACATGAGGTGACAGCCGTCTTTTTAAGTTTTCATCATAGTCAACATTACATTACTCTCTCTGGATAAACTGTACACACTCGCTCAGCCCCAATTTATAACGTAACCGTACAGTCTACAGCACCTACACACAACAGTATATGACCAGAATTTTACACAATTGTACTTCTGTGAGAAACTACAGGGTGTAAACCTTACAAAAGTGCATTGTGAAAATACATAAACGCACAATATATAGGTCACCCCAAAGTCAGACTTTCCACTAGTGGACCCCCCCCAAGAACACTGCCACAATTTGAACACTGCACAGAAGCCTCAACAACTAAATATATCATCTTTTCTGTATTTAGTTTGTCCACACGTTGCCTTTATTGCAGCTTCCATTCCTTTTGGGAAACTTGTTTTTAGTTTCTTTCTTTCAGTTTTTTGGAAAATCTGCAGGGATACTTTTTCCACACATCCTAAGGTTAGTCCTAGAAGTTGGTTGTATTTTCTTCTATTTACACTCAAATTACACCCGGACACATTCAATGCAAGCGAGAGAGAGAGAGAGAGAGAGAGAGACCTAAGACACTTTCATAATAACATGCAGGCAGCCATGTGCCATGTGCAGAGAATGAGCAAAAAATTCCATGTTGTTTATGTCAATGGTAAGATTATCCCAGTTGAACAGGTGCTGGGGATATGCAGTACAATGCTCTGAGCAGAGTGAACAAAACAGGGCTGTAAAACAGTGCGCGCCGATGTTCTCTGCATGTGTCACCTGACAAAAAAATGCCTGAGTCAAATAAATGGCTGAAATGTTTACCTGACCAAAAATACAGATTTGTACAAATTTGCACTCATTAACACTGCATTTAATAAACAACTACCCCATACAACATTTCCAACTGGACAGGTTCAGTATGGGCCCTCAGAATTTAACTGACATATATCTCACTTTTTCTCTTGTATTTTATTTTTTCCCCAGACTATATAAACCCCACATTTACAATGTTTATATTCAAAAATATATTTTTAACAAATATTTCAAAATATAGCCCTGCAGAATTAAACAGGCTGTTTCAGTTACTGTGTCTTTAAGACTGATATATGAAAATGACCCTGTTCTGATTGGTCTTTCTGTATTTAGCATCCTTCAAAAAGCAGTACAGGCTAAAGCACTTCCAAAGGAATGGGAGGGGGTAAACTGCTGATGGATGAGTAGGTGGGTTTATGTAAATGTGTTGGTTTTTGTGATGTCACAAAAACAAGTAATTTAAATTGGACTGTTTTTGCAGCTTTATTTGCATATATGGATTTTATAATCTAGAGAGAAGACTTGTTTTGAAACTCAGTTTTTACATCTGAAAGCAAACTCAGTATTTACATCTGAAAGCAAACCCAAACATCCATGAAATGGGCTTTTTAAGAACGTATGCTCCGGACATCCTGTGTTTACAGCATGAACCATTTGCGGAAGAAAAGGATGTGATCAATAACATGCATTTGGTTTATGTGACTTTATGAAAGTTATCCTAATGGCCTCTGCTGCAGCCTATTCCATGGAACTCATGGCATGTGCAGTGCATTAGATGGAGTTTACAATGCATTAGTCTGCGTTACTTCCTATGCAGGTTTGTCAAACGGTAAATTGCTTTGTCACCTAAACATGTAAGTGCATCTGTGCTTACATCAGAGCCACAGCCTTCAAAAAGAATTGCATTAATTAGAGATCTTTGTTACATTCATCACTCAATGACTTCATGGGCTTTGGAAACCGCACTGGTGGTTCTAGCCATCCTGAGGACTATGGCCAGCACTATACTTGAGACCACTCTCAGGTCTGTCAGACAGCATCTTACCTGTTAAAGGGTCCATAATCATAGAAAATCCAATTTATCTCACTTTTTTGAAGTGCCCAGTCCTTATGGTCTGTATAACAGGTCTCCCTACTCAGACACTTGAATCAACTCATCTTAATTAGCAGGTTTAGTAGATGTGATTTAGATTTAGTACATTTAGTAGAAACAGCAAACTGTACTGGAGTTTGAGACCCCTGGTTAATATGGAAATTAAGCTGCAAAAACAGTATATTTTGTTTTTGTGATTTCACAAATATCAACACATTTATATACATATTATCTCATTCAGCCTAGAGCAGTTAGGCTCCACCCATTCACACTGAAGTTATAAGGAGCGTTCCAGCCTGGACTTATTTTTGAATGATGCACAATACAGAGCAGCCAATCAGAACAGAGCAATTTACATACATCAGTTTTAAAGGCACAGAAAACAAAACAGCCTGTTTACTTCTACAGGATTGAAACATAAAACATTTCCAATGGGGCACAACTGCTCATATCAAGTCAGATTCAAATTTCACATTCGGGTCATCACAGCCCACCTCCCAATTTTAACGTAATTTACCCTGCATTTCCCCTGCTGCAGTTTTTCTTCTTACTTTATTCTCCCTCCCTACTAAACGATTACAATCTGGAATGCTGGAGACGCCCACTCAAATTTAGAACTAAGATCCATGAGGCCCTTGCCTGTGAAAAAAAGGATGAGCAGGAAGTAAACAGTGAATTGGTTCAGGAAAGCACAGATTAGTGCAGCCAAAAGGATGTTATAATTGTTATATTAGTATTTTATGCTGTGTGTTCATATATGTGACATATCTATCTATCTATCTATCTATATATATATATATATATCTATATATATATATATATGTTGTACTTAAACAGATGAAGGCTAATGTCTGCACCGCACGGAAAACAGCACCTTAGCAAAAATTGCACATAAAACACATAAGCACATTAAAAAAATATCCAGACTAAAAAATGTTGGGAATTTGTTTAAGAAATTAAACTTAATTTTGGCAGCTAATTATTTTATCATATTATTTTATAAATCCTTTATTTGATTTGTCCGTGATCTAATAACAGCTATTTTCACTGCCACATAGCAACATAGCAGTGTAAACTGATGATCAGATCACAGCCAGTATAATTAGTTAAAGGGCCATATCATGTAAAAATGAGTTTTCCTCACTTTTTTGTTTAAATAAATGTGTTTGATGAAGTAGCTTAAGTTTCAAAACATGCCGTTCACTACCCAGTCCATGCAGTGATGTCACACAAACCATCACATTTATGTTCATCCTTCCATTCAGTCTACAGCAGTTAAGCCCCGCCCAGTTACACTGAAGTCATAACATGTGTTTCAACCAGGACTGCTTTTTGAATGTGGCACAATACAGGGCAGCCAATCAGAACAGAGCTCATTTACATACACCACTCTTAAAGGTAGAGACTCAAACACAGCTAGTTTAAATCTAAAGGAGAAAGAGAGGTTGGGAAAATCATCATACATAAATTCATTGTGACTGGGTACATAGACAAATGTTATAAAATGGACCTCAGAGAAAAGAACAAAATACAAGAATACTGTAGGGTACTGTATGTGGGTACTTCAATAAGTTGAAATGAACTACAACTTTCACTGGTGAGATTCAAAATCTGATCACTATCACTTGTACTAAAACACACTCTACTGTAGATAAGGCAAAGGCACTAAATAACACACGCAGTGGCTGTCAGCCTCCATCCCGGAGCGCTGATGACACACAGCAGCTGGTAAAGGTCACTGTCTGCACCCAAACGAAAGATACACTCCATTCACACACTGAAGCACTTCTTCAAAGAGCCATGAACAGCACCCTTTCTTCCTCTGCGTGTAGGCACAAAAGAGGGAAGCGATGATGGCACAGGACTGGTGCTGTGGCTGCGTGCACACAAACCCAACCTGAACACACACACACACACATGCACGTACACACAGAGGCCGCATTCACTCATGCCCCAGTGAGAGGGATCCAGGACCAGACAGCCACAACACAACATTTAACAGAATTTAAAACACACATCAGCTGTGCTGCTTAGGCCTTCCGCTTTGCAGTGAACTTCCACCGAACCATGTGCCTTTCCCACACCCCAAAATGACATTTGGCTTTTAAAACCTCTCTCTCTCTCACTCTTCCACTCAATAATCTGCTCTTTACCCTAGATCCTATTTAGCACAGCATGTTGCTTTCAGAGTAAGAAAAACAATACGCACAAATAATGCTCATACTCTGGGCCTTCGTGTCAGGGGAAAGGTCAAACCATGATTTAGATTCCAGAGCAGCTTTTCAGGATTGAAGGAGATGGCTTTGAGCTCTGCTGTCTTTAGGATATTTGATTCGAACTACGAATGGCTCATTGCTTGCTCATCCAAATGGAAACTTTGGATTTCGGAGGAGCTCTGCAGCATGAGGAAGGCTATGGGGTTGTACGTACTACAAAGCTGAACAGATCTGGACACCTCCTACTGTGTGAGTGAAAGAGAGCTTTTGAGAGAGTAGTATGGGGTGAGTAAGTGTGCCAGGCCCCATTTCCAACTGAAAAGGTCTTTTGTATGTGTACCTCAGCCCCTCCCTCACCTAGCACTGAGCAAAGCTTAGCTATTTCCACCTTACATCATGGGCATAATTAGGCCTGTGAGCAGAAGCTTAAACAATAAAAAAGAAGACAGACGAAGAATCACTTTTGAACAAAACTTTTAAATGAAGAGTATGGCTTTTGAAGGAATCACTAACTTACAGCTTCTTCCTTTAGATCTCATGTGGTTGCCCATTCCAGCTTTCAGGGGCCTGCAGGCCCACGTTTTCAGCTCCAGGCCTGGTTCAGACCTTCCAAAAACTGTCTGAATCTCCAAAGAGGTTAAGAATGATCAGCATAGCATGAGTGGTCTTCTTGACGCACCCAGGAATCTTTGCTGGAGTCACTGGCGATAAACTGAATCCACCAATCAATACTAAGTGAAGTATAAGATTTTGAGTCAAATGTTGACTGTAGGTTTAGGTGATTCACTTGGCCACAGCTGCACATAACTAAAGGTATTTTTCATTACTGCACTACACATTGGAACTGTACTGTGTCTCACTATCAGTATAAAACTAATATCCCCATACTATGTAGTTTAGAACATACCATTTTATTTTTTCTGTATCATTATTTTCCCCTTTATTATGTAGTCTTATATAATGTTAGCCCAGTGTCTATGTTTGTACTGTTGTGTTTACAATGTATATTTCACCTAAGAGAGCAGTGAGAAAGCTTTTAATTATGCTGTACTTGTATAATAACAAAGTTGAATTGAATTGAACTGAACGGAATTGAACTGGAGGGCATATACACAGATCAGCCATAATGTTAAAACGACCTCCTGTTTCTACACTCACTGCCCATTTTATCAGCTCCACTTATAGATGTACTTTGTAGTTCTACAGTTACAGACTGTAGTCCATCTGCTTCTCTGCATACTCTGTTAGCCCCTTTCACCGCGTTCTTCAATGGTTAGGACACCCCCACACACCCCCCCGGAGCCACCACAGAGCAGCATTATTTGGGTGGTGGATCATTCTCAGCACTGCAGTGACACTGATGTGGTGGTGGCGTGTTCGTGTCCCTGCTGAAAAAATAACATAGAAACCATTAAGTGTTTCTGTTGGTTCCTGCTGGTTTTGTAATGTGTTTTGGCTTTTTTGATGGATTCACATCACAATGTAACAGATCCTAATTGTTTAATAGGTGACCAATGGCTGATTCTAAATGCATCTGATGGTTTCCTAATGGGATCTAAAGGTGTTCTGTAGGAAACTAGTGGTCTCTTTTGGAAATCATTAAGCCAATTCCCATTAGAGAGCAACAGGTTTTAGGTTTTAATCCCAATCATTTCTAATGGCCCTTTTTCAGCAGGGGTGTGTTGTGCTGGTATGAGTGGATCAGACACAGCAGTGCTGGTGGAGTTTTTAAACACCTAAGTGTCACTGCTGGACTGAGAATAGTCCACCAACCAAAAACATCCAGCTAACTGCTTCCTGTGGGCAGCGTCCTCTGACCTCTGATGGACAATGAGTGTAGAAACAAGGAATTTAATGTTACGGCTGATCTGTTTACAAAAACACAGAATAAAGAATGCTGACAAGCATCAACATCCTAATTCTTGCAGCTGTCCTTCGAATGTCCAGAAAAAGAACTGACAGCCTGAATGAACCAAAGTGAATGAGGGAGAATATTCTAGAACAGTGTGAATGAGGAAGAACATTCTACATTCCCCCAACAATCCCAAACAGGTATAGAACACAAACCTCCCCCTGCTAGAAAAACAGCATAGACCAGAACCAGCATATGCTGTGTTTTGGACGCTGATCTGCTGGTCAGCAGCAATCACAGTAAATATACTGATCGCCAGCAAAAATAGCGCATGCAGTGTTTTGGATGCTGGTATGCTGGTCATTCACTATGATCATACTGGGTGACCAGCTCACCCAGCATCACACCAGCATTAACCAGCTTAGACCATCATGGAATAAATGCGTGCTTAGTCGCTGTATTATAATAATAATAATAATAATAATAATAATAATAATATTGTCACTGTTACAAATTTATATACACAGAGTTTTATGAAGGGCACACAACAAGAAAATTACATCCACTCAGTGCCCATCAGGCCATGGTTTGGCACACATTCTCACAGACAGCTTTAACACTGTTAGGGTGCAGTCCGGACTCATTAATAAGGTAATTGTTCAGTATGGAAGGCGATTAGAAGGCAGTGTTAGCTCTGAGGCCACAAACAGGCAAACTACACCTGAGCTCCTGCAAAACACGCAGAGCTGGAGCTGGGAGTCGATACAAAAAAGAGCCGATTCTGCGACTCCGGGCGTCTGAGAATCCAGAGTCGACTCACAAGCTTTGGACTCGATTCCACACAGAGACACTGAAGTTTGCACACATGTTCGTGTGTCCGCGCAAACTCGACAGCCAGTCTGAACAATTCACCTTTCCACAAGAGTCATCACCAGACCGGCCGTGCTTTTCTTTAGGAAAAATTGAAACAAAACCATATTTGGTAACAAAAAACAAAAAAACTGACTTACAGCAAACTTCACCACTGCGGACACATCTGCTTCTCCAAAACTGAGAAGAAAATCAGTTTAGCAAAGCAACGTTACCGAATTTTGCTAGTTAATTAGCTGTCCAAGCCGCTGTGCTCATATAATTAAACTGACCTCGATGGTGAGCCTGAAAACAGCTGATGCGGTAACACATTTAGTAAATGCCATCTCTTATCATTCATACCGCTCTTAATGGTGCGTTATGCACTTCATACTGTACTTCTTAATTTGCCAGCTCTTTATTGTGTCTTGATTTTCTGGAATCGAGAAAATTGACTCTGAACAGTCAAAGGCTTTCTATGCCTTTTTTTGTTGTTGTTTACTTCAGAATCGACTCTTTGAAACGTGAGCTGTTTGCAAACGGGTGCGAAACGGGAAACCCACTGAATAAGAATGAAGGCTTATTTTTACTATAAAAAGAAAGGGTTAACTGGCAGAATTGTTTGTGTACATTTTTCTGTCGAGATGAAACGTTACTTGCACTTTCAACCCTGAATTTCTCTTCTACTTTTCTGCTCCTCCGTAATCGCCTCTTCCTCTTCGCATTCAGGCGGGATAAAGAGCGCAGGCTGATCTGTGAGCTTAGAGGTCTCACCAACTCGTGATCCAGTTGCTCCATTTAACACTTATCCGACTTGAAAACAAGTCAGGGACTAAGAAGCCCGATTAGCTCTAACACGCTGGTATCCGGCGAACTGAGCAGTTGAACTTTACAAAACACAACGGCGGCGCCCCCGTGTGGTGACAAAGGAGAAATACTGCCCTTCAACAGGGACGCGCTGATGAATGATCCAGACACAAACACTCCACATTAGTCTTTAACACGTACTTATCCACTGTATTATTAGAGGGAGAATGGGCTAAACCTATTCAATCTGTCTCACAGTAAAATAAAACAATCATCTTCAGTTTTCACTTTTTATTTTCTCACAAACCTTTCTCTTTAAAAAAAAACAAACAAAAAAAAACAACGTACCTAAGTATTGCATATCATACTGGCAGTTGTAACTACATGCAAAAATAATACAACAGAGTGACAACATCCGAAAAAAATTCATTCAAAAATCCATTTGATTGTTACAACTGGTTTTAAAATGTGTATATAAAAGAGTATCATTTCAACAACAAATAGTTTGTACAAGGGGTAACGGAGCAGTTTCCACAGTCAGAAGTGAAGAGAAGGAAAGAGAGGAAAGACGTCTTTTCACATCTGGTCCAGAGACAGGCTTTAATGCACAACATCAAACACTGGAGAGAACACACACCATCACACTCACATGCCTATGGACGACACACCCTTTACTGAACCGCTCAATCACACTCACGCATGCGCACACCACTGCATGTAGAAAACCCAACAATAAGAAGCCCTTTCAGCAGTATCACATTATCAAATATGAAAACTTTACAAGATACTAGGTAAAACAGAACCAGTACAATTAAAAGTGAACTACAAACAAACAGTTATTATACAAACTACAGAGATAACTGTGTACAGGATGTGTAGATTATGGCTTTGTCATTAAGTTTGAAGTCTACACATGAGAAGTCATGATCGATGGGCTTAAAATAAACATGAGCCAGGAGATAAGCTAAGCTTTATTCAAGACTACATAAAGCCTAAAGGCAGGTTACTGCAGGCCTTGTCACTGTAAACACTGAAGGCAGAGAAGACGTCAGAATCCAGAACCAAAAGACAACTTTCTACCCTCGCCTTCATCAAATAATCAGACTGATGCAACAAGGGCATGCTCTAACTACACTGTGGGGAAGACCGGATCGTTTGTAGTATATGTATGAAGAGAAGTAAACCAGGGGTCACCCAGGCGCTTCACAGCGTAATAACTATTCGTCATTTTATAGGTGATGCTTGCATTTCCATATATCTTTTGGAAAACTAAACCATGAATAGACACACCATTCCTGTCAACCAGTCTGAAAAGACAGCCTCAATTACAGCTGCACATTTTGAGAAATATGTCCATGGAATGACTTTTTGACTGGCTGAAGGCAGGAGAATGGCACTCAGTTAGCCTGTGCAACTCTTACTTAATGACAGCAAGACCAAAGGATGCAAACGTGTCGTCAGACATTTGTGGGTGCAGAGTGAACTAAACTAACAAGAATGACCCCACGGCTATAGTCAGGAGCACTGAAGAGAAATAACATGACAAAAGGAAAAGTTACCTTCTGCCACAACATGATAATCTGAAAACTGAATAAACAAACCCAACAGTTTAAGCAGGAAAACTATTTTGGACGGTACGCAAGTCAAAGCTGAAGATTCAGGTTTGTGAGGGTAAGTGTAATTAGAGCAATTAGATGTGTTGGTCACCATTAGGAAATGCCTTACACATGACCCTGCATGAAAAAGGACTAGAAAGATGGGGGGGGCTTGTTTAGCTGTGAGCAGCTTGGATGGGATATGTGGGTGTTGATACAGGTGTTGACGGTGGGGATCCCTCTCCTTCAGATGGTCTGGAGCAGTGTTGTTATTGCGCTGGTGGTGACCGGATTGGCAGGAAGAGCCTCAGTCTGCGCTGACCTGCGTAGTGACCTGGCTGTCGGCCGTCTGACTGGTGGACTGGATGAACATAGGCTGAGTCAGCTCCTGCCCTGCTGGCATTGTCACCTGCTGGATCTGGTACATCTGCTGCAGGGAAAAGAGAGAGACAAGGCAAAGCATGAGAGGAAAAAGTGAAAATGACAAACAACAAAACTGCAATTTAGTGGAAAAAAATCCAAGATGCACTGGCAAAAACAAAAACATAACTTTAATAGTGGGCAAGAATGAATGACAACTGTTCTTTGTTCAATATTCAATTTGCTTCCTATTTTCTGTTTTTTTTTGCACTATGAGCAGAATTTTAATGTATGAAAGGTGTTATGTCAGTTATCATCATCATCAGTGGCAGTGTCACTCAAGAGCCTTACCTGACCATCAGTGAACTGGTTGAATTGCTGTTGTCCTTGCTGTACTTCTGTCTGTGATATCTGCCAGCAGACAGAAAGAGCAAAGCGGTCTTTATCTCACAGTGATAATTCTGTGTTCAAGGTATCATCATAGAACAGATGATATAGTGTAATTCAAATTGGAACAGTCTGTTCCATTGAGGTATCAGTAGCAGGCCTAATAGAGGTCAAACCAAATAAAGGAAGAAATAGCAGTTATTTTTCTAAATAAAACTATTACTGTCTTACAAAAACAGAGACTCTGGTAAGTGGCTTTCACTTAACAATTAAATCTTTTACCTGCTGAGCATTGGTTGCAAGTGTCTGTATTTGTCCTTGAACGACCTGTGTTCCTGAGACTGGCTGAGCCAAGCGTATGTACTGCAGTTGGCCGGTGTTAAGCTGCACCTGCAAGGACAACACCACAAGGGGGAGACAATGAGCACACACTGTTACCTTCAACTAACCTCTGCCTCACTTGCTTTGCGGGTTTCTAAGGTAATGATCTCTACTCTTTAACTCTGACGATACAGGCTGTTGGATCCTTTGCTAGCTCAACAGGGTCAACAATTTACTATTAGTTTAATCTTTCACTCTTTTCTTTGGGCAGACTGACAAAACTTTAAAAATGATAAATGAGAATAAATAAGCAGAAGTGGGTACCATGCTCAAATAAAAGGTGTTTCTACTTCAATTAAATAATGACTCAAGAAGAAGTTAAAGTAGCTGCCAAAAACTGACTTCTGAGTCAATATCAATATAATGTTCCTTTGGTGTCTTCAGCGTAGTCATTTAAATTTTTTACAACATTGTGAAACAATTAGTTTTTCAAATTTGACTCAGAATGAACACATTACAAACATATAGGCATGTTAACCTTCAGTTTAAAATACATTTTATTTCATTTTCTTTGATGTGGAGACAAGAATTTTGACATGCCCAATGAGGTACATGGTTAAGTAAACGACTTTTTCTGGTTAAATAACACCTTTTACAACAAAAATTGCTATGTGGTCTTCAGGTTTTGAAGAAGTTTGTTGATAATTTAGGTACTTTGATTACTCATTTTGCCATTTTCATAAAAATATCAAGCTAATTAAACATGTTAATTTGCTGTTCCTTTAAGAAAGTGACCTTTGAAAACCATGACATCACAACCTTCATACTGTTTTACCTTCATGGACTGAAGACACCTGCTGCATGTTCAGTAACGATATAAGCTTTAAAAGACCACCCCTTTTTGGTGAAACATCGAGTTAATTAAAAAAGAAAATTAACTGAAATTTTAGAATATCAAAATCAGGCTACCTTTGGAACAATACGAAGTCATCCTGAACATGTCACCATGCATGCAACTGTAAGTCAACCGTGTGTTCATCAAAAGCTATTTTTAGCTAAAACTGTCCACGGTCACTGTCCACCCTATCGCACATCTTGCCATCTCAACGTGGACGCATTATAGAACCGCAGTGAAACTTCAGTACACCCAGCATCTACCTGTTCTGAAAGGTTCTGGCATCCTTTTGGTCTAAAATAAAATGCTAAGCCTTTTATGCTACTACTAGAAATACAAATGAAGTCCTGTCTAGTATATAGACAGACCAATAATATAACTATCGGTTGTCAGTATAGATGTTATATTGGCATCAGCGAAAACAGCGCTGATAACGCACTGATAACAAGCAACTTTTTTTTTGGTTTCAGACAGGATTTGAACTCTCAATCTCTTGATTGTACAACTGGGTAACCCAAAATGTGAATTTTTAGCACCTTAAAACCAGTAATGCATCAGCCACAAATCTGTCCATACCAGTCAGACCCTGGCATGGATCCTTTGAAAATATACTAAAATCTGAGTATCTATGCAAATATAGCCAGTTACTACCCACATCTGAATAGAAGCACTGTTACAAGCACACTGTCACAACAAACCTTCTCTCTCCAAAATTGTAACTTTATAAAACATTTAATAAGTGCAAAAAGATTTTAATCAATTTTGGACCATTGCTATTGGTCCAGCAGTCATCCAAACTTTTCAAAATGTAAGTCAATGATAGAGATACGAGGTTAGTACACTTATAAGCATGCTTGTGGAGCTCTTACGGGGATTTGTTGGATCTCTCCTGTGCTGGTGATGATTTGCTGCATGACCTGCATGGTTTGGCCTGCGGGCTGTGCTGCCTGAGCCTGCGCCTGCCCCTGCGCAGCCGCCTGAACGATCTGTACCTGCTGACCCTCGCCTACCTGCATGGTCACCGGAGCACTCTATGGCAGAAAGAGAGAGAAAAGACAAAGGAAGGGGAAATGAGTGACGAACATGGTACTAAGTTTGCAAGCAAATGAAGTGTCAAACCATCACATCTGGCTGGACCTTTAGATGCTAACTATAAAAGAACGCCTCACGCTCCCCACCCCCCGTCTAAATGGTCCTACAAAAACCACAGGAAATTGATGCAGGGAGTAGGTAAGAGAAGTCAGGCAAGTGTGTGACCCCAGGCCTCTTACAGCAGGCAGAGAAACCTGCGCCGCAACTGCCCGGCCGTGAAAGGCGATCGCCCACCTCTTCAGGAAAGGACACCCGATACACAAGAGCAATTTATTAAGCAGCTGGGCTTTATCTGCCACTGTGACCTCGTGTAGCATCAAGCAAAGAGGAGATCAACTACAGATACAAGATACTTAGTGAGTGTAGAGACTAACTGCTCTGTTCAGGACACGTCACACTTTGGCACACAAACTGCACCAACTCCTCTCCTCTGTATTAGCGCAACTGTATGGGACAGTATGTGCAATATCAAAATGACAATTTGTGAGTGTAACCTGTAAACACAGTCACAGAGTTGCACAGTTTGCTGACCATGGGTCAAAAGGTCACAGCATATGGTCCTTAGGGTAGAGCAGGTGCTACATTAGGGACGTGTAGAGTGCTGTTTGGGGGCTGAAATGTTTACCGTGATGGGGGTAGCCTGTGACTGAGCTACCTGCACCTGCTGTAGCTGCTGCATGGTGGTCCCCTGCAACACCTGAAGATGAACATGGCAAGAGGAAGAGAGAGAGGGAGAAAGAGAGAAAGAAAAGCTTTACACAACAACAAGCACATGCAAAGCGCACACTAAATGATTCACTCAGCAAATAAATAAAGTGCTTTCATGATGAGCAAAACAAACAAAGAAAGCATGTAAAGCATGTGAGATAGTTGCAAAGTTTATAAACATACAAAATATTCCGCAAAACAAACAAAAGTTGAAAGCTGATGAAGGCTAACGCACAGACGATGGCAATTTGGATGAAAGTGGTGAACTCATGGCAGTAATCTGACCAGGCTGTGAAGAAACAGTCACATGTAAGGCCTGACACCAGTTCTCTCTCTCCCTCCATCCTCTGGGACACAGACACAGCACTAGTTACCTCTTCTTTATTAAAAAGGTAGTTTTGGCTTCCAGCTGACCTATCAATTTCCTGCACTACCAAAACAGAATCCCATTTGTACAATCGCTTTCTTTGATGTAACCAAATGATATATTCCACATTGACAGATTATAGATGTCAGCAAGCTCAGCTATCATGATAGCTGCAGTTTGGTTGAGGAGAGTGGAGAGGAGGGGGAATGAATGAATGAATGAATGAAAATCCAGTCTTATCCCAGATGATTTCATCTGGAAGAAAATCACTGACATGACTGTGACAGATTCCACTGCGGTGTTCCTCCCTGTACAGGTGACCTAGCTGCCTGGAAAGCAAACCAAAGGCAAAGCCAACTTGCTGAGTCAAATGCTTTTGCTACAATATGAGCAACAAATATAACCGCATAATGTAAAACATGAAATTACATTTTAGTACTATATAATTTTTGGCTACTGCTGCACAGTGATAGCAGCCAGTACTAATCAAATTCCACTTCAACCGAATCTGCAGTCTAAATGCATCAGTAAATCCACAAATCATTGTGGAGAGACTGCTGCAACTAAAAGAATATACACTCACTTGTTTAAATAAAGAGCGCATACAACCCCGTTTTCAACCCTGGGACAGGGAAAACAAAAGACTGATGAAGTTGTGTAACGCTAGAAAAAAAAAAACACCTCATGGAACTTTGGCAACAGATCAATAATATGATGAGGTATAAAAAGGGCATCCCAGACAGGCTGAGTCTTTCAAAAGTAAAGACAGTGAGGGGTTCACCACTCTGTGAAAGACTGCACGGGCAAATAGTGCAACAATTTGTTTCTCAAAGTAAAATAGCAAAGAACTTGGGGATTTCCTCTTCTATGTATATAACATCATTAAAACAAAGAATCTGGACAAATCTCTGTATGCAAGAGTCTAAAAACCAATATTGGCTGGCCGGGATCTTCGGGCCCTCAGGCAGCACTGCATTAAAAAACAGACAATTCTGTAGGGAAAAATCTCTGCATAGGCTCTAGAACACTTCAGAAAACGAGTGTCTGAACACAGTTTGTCGCTGCATCCACAAATGCAGGTTAAAACTCTACAACGCAAAGAAGAAACCATATAAACAGGATCCAGAAATTCCGCTGCTTTCTGTGGGTCCAAGCTTATTTAAGATGGACTGAAGCGAAGTGGAAAAGTGTCCTGTGGCCTGATCAAAACATGAAATTCTTCTTGAAAATAACGGATGGCACGACCTTCGGCCTAAAGAGCAGAGGGACCATCCGGATCGTTATCAGTGCCAGCACCCAGGGGTGCATTAGTGCACATGGCATGGGTGACTTGCACATCTGTGAAGACACTATTAATAGTGAACGACATATACAGGTTTCAGAGCAACATTTGCTGCCATCCAGATGAAGCCTTTTTCAGGGAAGGCCTTGCTTATTTCAGCACTACAATGCCAAGCCACATTCTGCACGACTTACAACAGCATGGCTCCATGACTCCAAAGAGTCTGGGTGCTAAACTGGCCTGCCTGCAGTCCAGACCTGTCACCCAATGAAAACATTTAGCACTATAAATGAAAAATGACAAAGGCAATCCCAAGCTGTTGAGCAGCTGAAATCCTATATCAAGCAAGAACGTAAAAAATATTTCACTTTCAAAACTACAGCAGTTGGTCTCTTCAGTTCTTAAACGCTTGTCTTGTTAAAAGATGATGCAAGACAGTGGATAAACATGCCCCACTGTCCCAACTTTTCAAATTCAAAATGGGTGTATATTTTTCAAAAAACAAAATTTTACTTTCTACATTTGATATGTCGTCTTTTTAGTATTTTCAATTAAATACAGGACTTAAATGATGTATACATCACTGCATTCTGTTTTTAATTTAAATTTTGCACAGCACCCCAACATTTTTGGAAACAGGGTTGGACAAATGGTCATCTTTTTAACTAAGCCCAACATGTATTTATGTCTCTTTTGGGGGACAAAGTCATGGCACTAGGATCAAGTCCCTCTGGTTCTTTTCTCCATCTCTGCTTTCCTGTATCCATCCCCCATCTCTCTGTATTTCCTGTATTCCCTCCCTCGTATCGTTCTCCTGTTCTTGCGCTTGTTCTTGTTGTCCTGAGCGCTTTAGAAGGTGACTGCAGCAGCACTGTGCCCAGCTCTGACAAGTCAGCGAATTGCAGGCCTGCTGAAGCAGCACTGATCCTCAGAGAGAGAATGAGGTCCAGTACTTGTGTGTGTGCATGCATTTGTCTGTGTGTGTTTGTGGTGCGGGGACGAGAATGGAGGATAGGCTGAGAATGAAAGAAAGAAGCAGAGAAAGAAGATCTAGAGTGGAATAGGTGAAGAGTCATACAAATAAGGACAGTGATGAAGATAAAGAGTGAATGGAAGTAAATTAGGCTATAACATCTGAGAGAAAGAGAAGGAGCAGAAGTAGCATCATATAAAGAAGAGCAGAGGTTGGAGCAAGACAGTAAGATTGGAGGGGAAGAGTGAGAGAGAGAGAAAGAGATAAAGAAAGAAGGTATGATAATGAATAGAGAGAGAGAGCAAAATAGCAAGAGAGAAAGAGGCAGCAAGAGATAAGAGTGAGATACAGGGATGAAGGGGGAGACGGGGAGAGAGAGAGAAAATGAGCACATGACAGAGTGAAAGGGTGAGGGAGAAAGCCAAAGAGCAAGCAAAAGATCAAGAAAGAAAGAGAGAGACAGAGACTGCGAGGGAGAGCGAGAGAGAGAGCGAGACAGAGGGGGGAGAGAGCAAAAGAGTGAAAGAGAGAGGGAGAGGGGGGAGAGAGCGAAAGAGTGAGAGAGAAAGGGGGAGGGGGAGAGAGAGAGAGAGAGAGAGAGAGAGAGAGAGAGAGAGAGAGAGAGAGAGAGAGCGCGAGCGAGCGAGCGAGAGAGAAAGAAAGAAAGAAAGAAAGAAAGAAAGAAAGAGAGAGAGAGAACGAGTGCGAGAGAGAAAGAGAGAGAAAAAAAAAGAGTGCGAGAGAGAGAGAGAGCCAAAGAGCAAGCAAAAGATCAAGAAAGAAAGTGAAAGAGACAGAGTGAGACTGAGAGACAGAGAGTACGAGGGAGAGCGAGAGAGAGAGCAAAAGAGTGAAAGCGAGAGGGAGAGGGGGGAGAGAGCGAAAGAGAGAGAAAGAGAGAGAGGGGGAGAGAGCGAAAGAGTGTGAGAGAGAAAGAGAGAGGGGGAGAGAGCGAAAGAGTGCGAGAGAGAGACAGAGAGAGAGAGAGAGAGAGAGAGAGAGAAAAAGAGTGTGAGAGAAAGAGTGCGAGAGAAAGAGAGAGAAAGAGTGCGAGAGAAAGAGAGAGAGAGAGAGAGAGAGAGAGAGAGAGAGAGAGAGAGAGAGAGAGAGAGAGAGCGCTAGACTGATATTACACTGGGGAGGATGAGAGAGTGACCGGCTTCTGTGCAGTTCACTTGATAGGAAAGTGTGAATGACACCTCTGGGCATCAACTGTTAACAAAGTGTGGATCAAATGATCCAAAGGAGATCAAAATGAACTGAGCTCAAGTGTGTGGCTTTGTGTGTATGAGTATATTAATCCCTCTTAGTATGGTACAGTTTCAGGTGCTTGTGCACCACACTGAAGTATAGAATAGACAGAGGTGACTACAAGGGCAAACTCTGAAGTGCCACTCCACACAAAAAAACAGCTAATCCATAGTGCTATGTTGCTCTTTATTTCCAGCCTCACTTTCACCTCTTCCTGTTCAGAGTTCAGATGCCATCTTAGGTTATAGTGACAAAAATCACACACACTCATGATGTGAACATTGAATCAACCTTCAGTTACATTTCTGCAAAGGATTAACCTCTTAAACTGCAGGCTTAATATTCAGCTTTTATTCTTAAAAAGACTCATATTTTTCTTGTATGTTATTTTGCCCCTGATGTCTACTTTTTGACGTGTTTTGATGCATCAAACCAACCAAAACTTTTTTACATGACTATTTTACACCCTCACTATATCCCGTATAATAAAACACATGACAATAGACTGACATGTAAATTACAGGTCTTTTGAGTTTAAGGGGTTAAGCTGTTTTTGTACAGTGGGCGCAAATGAAATGAGGCTCTACCGAGTCAGCAAAGCGTGTGTGTATGTGCACGTGTGTGCTACCTGGCCCTGCTGAGGTTGGGCGATGATGATCTGTCCAGGTTGGAGAGTGGTAGCGGTAGGTGTAGCCACCTGCTGGCCTTGCTGCTGTCCCTGCACCTGTACAGCCCCGGGCTGCTGTGCCAGAGTGAAGTAGTACTGCACAGGCTCAGCCTGGGTTACAGACTGACGCACCTCCTCCTGCACAGACACATACGCACACAAATATAAGATAAAGCCTATCACTTGGTTACATCTCCATAAATTATTTTAACACTGTAATACTAGAGGCAGGTCTCAAATAAATAACTAATAGGAATGGCTAGGGACAGTAATGTGAGAGCAATGTGGACACATTCACACTCTGACACTTAGCCAAAGTCTGTGAACTGACCAGCTCTGCACTCACATTCTTGCACAACATTTAGACAGCCATTCACTAGTAACACATTACACAGTAAGATGTACAAAACCAGACAAAATACATATTACATAAATAGGACTATCATAATTGCTTATATTAGCAATTGAGTAGTCTTTGTATTGTTCTGATGCCTGAGTAATCAGAACTATTTAAAAACGTTCAAAAATAAAAATGTAAATTTCCTCGCCTTTTGGTGTGGCATGCAAAACTGCTCAAATTTTAAAAGCTATCATATCTTACATTATTATACTTTATTTTTCATGAGATGATGTGTGACTCAACTCACCAAAAACAGTCATAATTCATTTTTACATATAATTTTCCAATCTCCCCTTTTCCTTAGAATTAAACAGCCTGTTTTTGCTACTGTATCTTTAAAACCTTGCTCAAAAAGCACTCTTGGCTGAAACATTACCCGCAACTAAATAGGCAGATGTAGGCAAATGTGTTGGTTTTCATGACATCACAAAAACACAATTAAAACAGGCTAGCTTTCCAGTTTAGTTTCCACATGTGGACTGTATGGACTGGGGATTGAACGGTACATTTTGAAACAAAGTTCACATACATCAAACTTTTATTCTGAATAAACCAGAGACATTTGGTTCTCCATGCTATGGGCTCTTTGAAACGTTCCGTTCTCTCCTCAGTTCATACTATGCACAAATGGAAAACAAGCAGCCTGTTTTGAGTTGCTTTTGTGAGGTCAAGAAACAAGTTTACATATATCCGCCTATTCAGCCTACAGCAGTTTAGCTCCAACCATTCAAGCTAAAGTTATAAGGAATGCTTCAGCTCTGACTTCCATTTGAATGAGGCATAATATACAGCAGCCAGTCAAAACATCAGCTGCATATTGCCAATTAATTACTGCCAATTCACAGAAAAGGTAAATTTTATTTTTTAAACAAGTAATTGTGACAGTCCTTTGCATAATACAATTCCATACTTCGTTTACAAACAGTAAAAATCGGTACAAAAAAGTAATTAACACAAATAAAAGCAGGAGAAACTGAAGATTCATTTGTGACAAAGAGCGTAAACACCCCTCTCCCAGCTTCACAGTATCACAGCTGAGAGTGTAGGATGTTTACACACCTGCTCACACAGCCACACGCATGAACGTGATAGCAGCGGCAGTCCATCTGATAACATCTCCCATGCTAATCACAGATACAATAGAACACTGTGTCCTTTGGGTCCCGATTCATCCAGGATATGTTTCTGTTCAGTGCTACAGCAGGGCAGAGATCTCCTGGAGGAACATACAGACTGACATATGTTCTTAAAGCAGGATGGTGTTGCAGTCTGCTTGTTATATGATCAGTTGGTTGGGTGCTATGCCTGAGCCCAGGCTATGCAGTGGAAAAAGAGCTGATGTTCAGTGGAAGCCAGACGCTGCAAACATCCGACTGAAAGCCTTCACTTTTCTCTACCCCCAGCTTCCAGTCAAGGATGTTTACAGCGCCTACAAGCTGCCGCCAGTGGTGCTGCATGGGGATCCTCTTCCTCAGAGATGATCACTGATGTGAACACTTGCTTTCTCTGAGTTAGCTCATATTTCTGAAACTTCAATAACAAAAACACCACAGTAATAAACATTTTTCTGATTCCCCACCTGTCGTTTAGGGGGCTTGAGGTCATCTCTTGGGACAATGTCAATGAGGAAGTCAAACTGGTCAAACTTTGTGATGGCCATGGCTATGTCATTCCTCTGAAAAACAGAGTGAGAAAGAGTGAAAAAGAAAGCCCAAAAACACAACTCCTGACTCAGCCAGCACTCTATTAAGATTAACTTTGTTTAAAACAAATGGATATAAACAGAATTAAAACATACAAATATAAATATAAATTTCACAAATAGTATAATTAACTAACTAAATAACTACATAAATAAATGAGCAAGTTAGCTAGCTTAGGGACATACATTTAAAATGATATGTGACAGCAGAGAACAAGACTGAACGTGACCAGTAATAATGTCAATTCATCTCAGCTCCAGAACACTCACAGAGCCACCCCTGCCCCCTCTGTCTGTGTGGTACTTTCCACAGGATATTGGCTGCCAAGACCCCCTATTGTCACCCCCCACATCAGCAGCTATTTTTAGCCTTGTGATTAATATTTGGTAGCTAAGGGTCATGTCCGCGCAGTTGTTCTATTGATGAGCGTTGTCGTGGCGACCCTGATTGGCGTGATGCCTCCACAAAGGCCGGGTCTGCAAATGCAGTGCCTTAGCAACGTGCATTTGCACATAATACAATTTACATATTCAAGTGGTGCTGTACCCGATGTTATGTTCCCTCAGACTCAAAACTCTACAGCCCTAATTATACTACTGATGCAAAACAGTATTAACCCATGAAAAAAACTACAACCTTTAACAAAAACAAAACATTTAATTTCTGTAAATGAATAATTTAATACAAATTACACAAGTGACATAACACTGATTGTTCCTTGCATTGTTTTGTGTTTACAAACAATTTAAATCCAAGCTTTCTAAGAAGCTTGAGATCCATGTTGTTCGCCACTGCTCCAGGACAGAACGCAAAATGGCATTCTAGAAAGTGGGTCATGGGAGATTCACTTTTAGAGTCAACAGCAAGTGCTAGAATGGAGCTGAGACAGGCCCTGGAGGACTCAAGTGTGGGGCCCTGCCCCCAAAACCTGGCAAGCTCTGTCATGGCTCCCGCATCTTCAGGAGGTGAATACATGTAGTAACATGCATCGAAGCAGGAGGTAAATGCTTTTTTGGTCCAACAATTCTGACTAGTTTGTATAAAGCTTGTAATATGGGAAATAGAATGTAGTTAAGAGAGTTTCTGGATTTTTCATTATTTTATTATTATTATTTCTTTTTAGATGACTACAATCTTCTGACCTAGTTACTCAGTTTCTATCCATTTGGCCGCAGCTGATGTCAGAGATCAGTACTGCAGCTGTGACTATGTGAGAATGGCTTTAAACAAAAATACAGTTAAAGTTGTACCAGAAAGAAGGCTCAGTTTAAACAGAAGTCAGGTACGCTGGGGCTTTAGTATATTAGTAGGGATGTACAATGATGTCAGTATTTGAGTGGAAAGCCACCACGGTAAATGGTTAAATTGGGTAGATTCTTTTCCCTTTAATGGTTTTGTCCAGTAATTTTGGGTTGGCCACTTACACTGTGGACATGGGAGCGGACACAGTGATAACGTGAGTTAAAGCTTAATCTTTGTCAAATAAACAAACATGATAAAAGCACAGTTCAGTAAAAGTTGTAGTAGAGTCATTTTTGATTTGGCCACAAATCAGCATGCAGCTTTTTGTACAGTCATGACAGATGTCAGAGCATTATTTCTATAATGATCTTATCTATGCCAGGTACAATAAATAAGATATGAAAGTATAATATCACTCAGCATGTTTAAAAGTTCAGTTATGTTTACTTGTGGGAATACTAGCATCCTGCTGTGGTGTGCATGAAGGAAATCAATAACTGAACAACACTGTCCAAACCGGCAGGTTTTTACCATCACTGGGGACTGTTACTATAGAACTTGATTAACAGTCACAGGCCTATTTTGAGTTGACTGATATTTCAAACTGATATTTAAAGACATATTTAGTGTACGCCAGATGATCAGAATGTTTAATTGAGGCTGGGCTACTGCGCTAAAATACTTGTATTTTATTTATTTTACTGCATTTGTACCCCAAAGAAATAAGTGTTAGGTTTCTCCATAATGCTAATGTTGGTGGACCTAGTCCCTTATGTATTTGCAGATATATACATGAAAAATATCATACATTAACAGCCTACAACTCCCATACCAATGCATCCCAATAAATTAGTAACAACATTCAAGGCCCAATAGGTGCATACTTCTTGTGGGACAACTGTAGGATCGGAGGGTAAAAGGTCAATGACTAACCTGTAGTGTGCGGCGTTTGTTGTCCTCGGTGTGGATCCAGGCTCTGAGAGTGAGCTCTGTGATGAAGATCTGAGCCGCTTTGGCAAACAACACTGGAGCCTCAGCGCTTATCATCTGCAGAGGGTTAGCATGGAGAGGGTTAATGAAAAGATGCCACATGCATAAACAAATCCTCTCTCATGGTTAAGGCAGGAGTGAAGGCAGTCTTCATTTACTTACTATCATGAACCATGTATACACACACACGCACACAAACAAAAGCATACCCCAAGGTCCATGTCAGTGCTGCTGATCTCTTAATTGCCTTGGCTTTCTGTTCCAGTTTAACCCTCTTCCTACTTTAAGCTGTGGGTTATTTTAAGATTGTGGATAGCATTCTGACCTGATGCCTGCTTCCCACGCAGGTCTGGTCTTAAGCCTGGTTTATATTACTGGGAAGATGCACATAAACATATTGTGCGAATCTGTGGAGTTGTGTGTCACGTGAGTGCTGATTGGCTATCATGTAGTATTGGGGGCAGGATGAGACCCAAACAATATTCTGACCTGATCGATAACTAGCGCAAAATCAAAACAGAGCAGTTTGAAGAACAGCTGGCAGAAAAAGTTAATGATATTAATATGACCCATCTTCAAAATATTACAAAACAGTGAGTACCTAATCTAAGAGACGGGGGAAAACATGAGAATTTCCTCTTGTTTCCTCTTGTTTTTCGTACATTCTAGTTTGCACATTTCCTTTAGCGTACAAACGTACACACTGTTCATAGCACACTCAACAAAACCACTACAGAGGACAGAATAAGTGATGACAGAATAACTTAATTCACTAACAACAGAAAAGTGGAAACGAAAGAATGAAAGACGCGCATTCTGTGTAGGTTCTATGCATCTCTACATTACAGTACCACCAGTGAAAAGCAGGCTGCCGGTTGTAAAAGGAACAGGACTGAAGAGACTCCATCTGACAGGTGAACTTGGTTGCACAGTTGCTCTTACCTTCACATCTTCATCCAGCTTCATGATTTTCTTGATGCGAGCAAGTGGAAGCTCCTGCACGCGAAAATCCTTCTGAAACAGAGCGCAGCATGTCACATCAGGATAATCCACACTTAAGCTTCCTTGATAACTATCAAAGTAAATATCCAGAGAGAAGCACTCATGAATATTGAATTAATATCACAGATTGGAGTCTTGCTGAGGCACTTATGGGTGAAAAAATCTCCAGTGACTTCCCACACTCCCTCCATATATATTTGTATATACAGGGTGATACAAAAAGATTCATCCGATTTCAAGATGATTTATTTCACTTGTAAATTATTACAGAATGAAGTTTATTATGTAATTTTACAAGTGCTCAATATGACCTGCTCCAGCTGTACGGACAACACCAACGCGACAGTCAAATTCATCCCATACTAGATTGAGCATGTCGGGTGTCACTGTACTCAGCTCTTTCAATGCGATTTCGGAGATCATCCAGTGTTGTTGGGAGTGGTGGCACATAAACAGAATCCTTAACGTACCCCCACAATAAAAGTCACACAGTGAGTCAGAAACTCTTAGACCCTTTTTTTCCAATTGATATGTGATTGGTTCCTAGACGACTTAAATATGGCACTTGGAAATCGGATGAATCTTTTTGAATCACGCTGTGTTTATCACCTTCTCTTCTTTACAAAACTATTACAAAAGCTGTATGGGTGTGTTCCTTACCACAGTGAGGTTCCGGATCTCCTCCATGACCCTGGGCCAGAAGGACTGCAGGCTCTGCTGGGCATCGCTCCCCCCTGCTCCAAATGAGTCTGCTGCCATCTCCAAATCTGCTATAAAGAGAGACAGAAACTTCTTGAAGGCAACCTACATTTCATGAGGACTTCTAAGGTTGGGCTTCAAAATGAAGCCTTGAGTGTAACCTTTCATCACACATAATCTAATGTAATCAACACCATTTCCAACTGAAACATCCCACTATGTTCATTCATTGTGAGGAACTGTGCCTTTCAGTCTGATTGCCACTGTGTTAAGACTAAACGGTACGGTAGCCTCGCTTCCACACTGGACAAAAGGAGAAGCAGTCAGGTTTGCTGGGAAAGAAGTAAGAAAGGCATCCATACAGCAACAATTTACAGTATAGAAATGACAGGGCCCCAAACTTCCTGTGTGTGACTCAGAGCGAGGAAGACACTTCTGAATCCTTAAAGTAAAAGGCGTTTCTAGGGCTATGAGCAAACGTGGAACACTTGAATGTGCAGCTTGGTGTGCACACCAAGAAATCACTCGCAGACACACACTGACACACAAATGCAAACACGCTGCAAATGGGCCTGGTCCATCAGGCCCAGCACTCTGAGAGTAAAGCTGGCAGGTTACTATGGCATGAGAGGAATTCTGCTGAGAAGTCCAGCCAGCCTGTCTGAGCTTGTGCTCCTGGGGAACACAGCATTGCGCGCTCGCTCTTTTTCTCTTTCTAGCTCTCTGGAAGGAAAGAGAGGGCCAAAAATAGCTGGGTGGGGTGCCACTAGAGTGGGAGCAAGAGAGTAAAAGACAACTAGGCCTCACGCAGTTCAGCTATAATCCAATAACAAGACAAAGCGCCAAGGGCTTAGAGAGAGGAGGTGCAGACGACACAGCAATCAGACCGCCGTGTGGCCTCAGTATGTGGGTCAAACGAGAGAGGACAAAAGTGAAGAATGATTGCTAGAACACGCTTGCTTGCATACATACACACACAAGCCCAAGAGAGAACAAGGGGAAACGATTCTTTCAACACAAAACAACAACGGCCATGGTCAGCCACAACATCAGTTCCATTGCTTTCAAAATGAGAATTAAGACCAAAAGCATTAGGGCAACTACAAATCAATAAGTCATGTGTATCAGCTGGGCCTGACTAGCCAATAAGGTCCCGTGTAATTTCAGGGTTGAAACTGTACTAAAAGGAGCCGGTCCCTGTAATACTGACAAGAGTTGATTGGATTTAAAGACTCAAACATTGGGATTCATGAGAAATCTGAACTAGCATCTTTAAAAACCGGCTCTGTTTGAGTGTCTCTGCTTGCTTGTTTTTTTCTTATTTGTTGTTTTTTGGAGATGTGAAAAGCTAAGGAGCTTTAAAAAGCAGCATCAGGCATAGATCTTGTGACAGATCCTGCAGGACACACTGTGAATGTGGATGGGCGATTCTCAGTGCCAGTCAGAGATAAGAATTAATAATTAGACGATTCACTTAACACCATTAAAAAGAACTAGCTTGCTAATTACCATGCACTAACAGCACGATTACCGCCAAAGCCCCAGGAAATGGAAAGGCAAATTAAAAGTGCAAATCCTTCACTGAGAAAGAAGTACATCAAATCTTAGCTGGCCCAGCTGCTTTGATTGGTAGCCATCTTTACCCTTTGTCAGTCATGAAGCATGACAAACCCAAACTAAGAAGAACAAGACTACTCACTCTTTGTTGCTGACTTATCCTACATCCCATAAAATATCCTCTAACTGCATATTAAATTAAAAGATGTCAAATGGGTAGATTGCGTCAAAACCGAAAGCAGATACAATTTTATTCAACCATGAACTTCGAACTGGAAACACTAGCAGCCGGGCGAAATGTCTGCATTTTTTCTGCTCTCGAGCGATGACTGCTCTTGCACTTCAGCAAGTTGGGCAGCGCCGGGTGGTGTTGGATTTCTCCTGACCTGTGCGGGTGTCTCATCGGCAGTGACCGCTACTCCTTTGCTTCACAGAAAGTCAATGGTGCCAGCAGGAGCTGAATCAGCAGGAACATTCTGGCTAGCCTGAGCATGCTCCATGCAGGTGCAATACAGTGGCACCTCAGCAAAGGTGTGCTCCTCCATTTCAAGCAGGCAAGGGCCACACTGGAAATGGTGGACAGAGGTATTGTGCTGTTAATTAGCTCAATTATAGCTTAACTGTCTAAAGTGATAGAGGGTTATGTAGAAGGCCATATGCAGAACAGCTCTTTTGCGTCATGCTTGATGTTTGATGAAGCAGGAGGCAGAGAATGGTAGCCTCAAGCCTCTCAAGAGCCAAGAGAGAAGCAGGTGCCCTGCACTATGACTCAAACACAACGAAACAGTTCTGACAGCTTCTGCTCAGAGCCAAATTACTGCAAAGCTCCCAAGTCCCAAACCCTGGACAGCATGAATATGATGCACATAAGGAAAACCACAACAGAATGCTTAAGTACACTACTGAATACAAAGTCAGAGATGCATAACTATTTAAACTAAGATGACATGCGTTCTAACCACAAAGTAACCCTGGAACAGCCAAAACAGAATAAAGGAAAATACCTGGGACATGATCAGGATACACCACTGCACCATCTGCCTCAGATTGTTACTTAATAACAAGTTCAGCCTCAAGTAACTTGAGGCATTCTCCTCAACTCTACTATGATTATATGGTACAGCCCACAGCTGGAATGAGCATACTTAATTCCTCAGAAAGCCATTACTTATAGCCATAGAATATACAGTTGCAGACATTATCAAAAGTTAGATTCCCCGAAGCTTTTTCATTTTAGTTGAATGTCCTGAAACAGCAGTGCAGATGTTCTGCAAAAAATGATTAAAATTCTGCTCCATAAAAGGTTCAGGCCAGGGGCTAGGTTTTATGTTGAACAGTATTAAGATATTTCACCAAGCTTTTCTTCCTGCAGTTCTAGTCATCATATAAGTCAGAGGACTGACGTGTCCTACGATGATGACAGGCCATGGTGTGAACTGGAAACCAGGAGGTATACATCCACCCATGAAAAATTCAGATATACACCTCTGATGATGTAAGCGTAAAGCTTGCAAAAATGCTAAATCCCATCTATTCAGTCAGCTGCCATGTTCCCAGATAATGAGTCTCATAAATCAACAATGTCAACACAGGAGCAAATGAAGTACAGTCACTTGCAGTGTAAAAAACTATGTTCTGAGTAAAATAAGCCTTTTTTGTTCTGCTAAAGTCTTTCAATGGAACCTCAAAATTAACTTGAAGGGAAAACAAACAAAACAAGCGAGATGTAGTTGCCAGTGCGCACATCTCAATATCCTGTGTTATCATTCCTTGTCCCTCCCCCTCCGCTCCCCACACTTGCATCTTTCTCCTCCTCCCCTCCTGCACTCCTCCTCTCTCTCTGTACAGGAAAACAGAACGCTGATGAGAGCAGATATGAAGGAGTAATGCAAGCTTATCTGACATCTAAGTGCTAAGGGGTGGGGCAAAGGGGTGGTGCGTGTATTTAGAAAAGGATGGAAGCGCGTATGTTTTACAGTATTTTAAGACATACTTTATGGAGCGGTTACAGTGGTTACCAAAGTGGTTGGTGGTTACCAAAACTTACTTCATCTGAAAATAAACATGATATACTAATCCAACAAGATGTCCTTTTCTTAGAAACAACAAAACTAAACATTTGATTTGGAAAAAGGTCACCTCAAGGGTACCAAACACATTTGTCTAGCTACATTTAGGATTCATTAACTACTGTGACATTCTCACACAGAGGACAGTTGGTAAAAGCTGCCCCGGTTGCTGGGACTAGTTAATCATCTACTCGGGCAAAACAAGACATGGAGCAGCACACAGTAATGAATTACAAATTAACTGACAAATAACCTCCTCCTTGTTTTGATACCAAGCTTGGCGCGTCTAAAGACAACAGGACAACAGCCATGGTTACAGTAAGCTGCAGGTAATCTGTGTGAACCAATGGCTCGATCACACTAACCATGCCCTTGGTTCAGTCTCACTGCAACTCCAGGAAACAGTTACTGATCTCTCAAGGTCATTCAATAGCAGAGGGGGGGAGGGCAGCAAGGTGGGGAGGGAGAAAGAGTGAGGGATATTGTAACAGGGATGGGGTGAAGAAAGCGAGGGGAAGAGAGAACTTTTGCTGCGGCACTTGGCGACCCCGTGGTAACTCTCCTCAGTGTGCCGGTGTCCTCCCCAGAGAGGACGGAGGCTGACGGTGAAAGGGCCTCTCTTGTCTGGGGGCCTATGAGGGATGCACTGTCCTCACACTCTCACGCTCTCTCCCTGCTGACAGATCCATCGAGGGAGCCGCTCTCACATTCCCGTGACCTTCATCCGCCAATAGGCCCAGCTAGCACAGAAAGGTACAACAAGCTAAAGCTAGCTCCAAAGCAAAAAGCAGAGCAAGTGCAAACTTGGTCTTCCTCGGCAATGACATTTTCCAAATACCCATGCGAAAAAGTGTCCTGCCCTAGTGTGCCTGGGTCAAAAGAAAGAACCTGTAAATAAGGTCACCTTTAGGCAGACTATTGCCACTTGCAACGCTGCTACATTACATATTTTTGTTTTCATTTACTTTTATGTCCACATTTCCAACAGTGCAGTAAGGGCCTCAAATGATATTCAAATCTCATGCAAACAACAAATCGCAGTGGGATTTGGCAGTGAGGGCTCCAACTCTGAGCTATTTTTAGTTCTCCTCCCCCCTTTGGGACGCTACACTGTCAGAGGCACCAATGGAAACTTTCAATTAGAAGGGGAACAGAAATTGCAGTGGACTACAGATTCGTTTAAGGCTTATTAAGTGAGGAGAAAGTACCCGGTTGGAGATGTACAACAGGGCTTACGATGGGGCGAAGACAAGTGCCTGCCACAGCATCTCTCTCATGGAACCAGCTCTAAAGCCAGTCTTAGAACCAGCTCAAGTTTGTCCCCTAGACCCTACCACCATATTTGTCCTCTGCACTACATCACTGTCAGGAAAGCGTAAACAAGCCATAAAGGACTGGGCCTTGAAGGTGAAGCCGGACTCCTGTGCAGCCAGACACTCGCTACCTTCCCGTACCGCCCTACAAACACAAGAAATGATGCAGCAGACTCGTTCCCACTGCCTTCAAAGTCAAAAACTACTCTACTACATAAAAAAGAACTTAAGAACGTGCAGAAAGGCCATTAGGAGTATCCACTATCCATCACTCTCTACCAACAGTTAAACAAGATCAGGCGAAAAAGTACACCAATTCTAATGCACACTGACACAGTTTTGTCAACCATTTGCACAGGTGCAGCAAATTCATATGCTTGACAGAGTGTACTAGCTTTCACTGGAAAAACTAAGAAAAAAAGTCACTTAAACTGAGGGGGGAAAGTAGAGGACGAAAGGAGGAGGGGAAGCGTGGTGGAGGACAGAGGAAGCATCCTATTTCTACACAGAGAGAGAGAGAGAGAGAGAGAGAGAGAGAGAGAGAGAGAGAGAGAGAGAGAGAGAGAGAGAGAGAGCGCGAGCAAGCGCAAGAACAGCAAGAAAAAGAATAAGACAAAGCACAAGAAAGAAAACCCAACACCATATACAGGCTTGTTTTGTAGCACTGCCTGCATGCACTTTGTCACACTTACCCCATGTCCTTCATAGTGCACAGCAGACTGCGGAGAGAGGACGAGACGAGGACAGGAGGAGAGATGTTTGGAGCTGAAGTCTCTTTCAGAGGTGCACAGAGAAAGTGTCTCTAGTCTACAGGCTCTCTGTCCCAGGAGCAAACAAAAGGCTGTATGGGGCAGGCGGTCCAGCGCTGCGCTCCGAGCCCAAAGCTGAGGGGAAAGCAATAACCTACCTCCCCCTTCCTCAACCCCTCCCCTCCCCCTTCACTGCCCCATCTCCTCCACACACACCCCTTGCCGCCACCCCCCCTTTTACTAAACACACAGCCCCCTTCCATTCCTTCTCCCAGCGAGTCCTCTAAAGCCGGAGTTTGTCTCTGCCCGGCAACCCTGGTGTTTGTCTTTCAGCTGACCCCATCTTCATAATGAGCAGAGTTACAGGGGGAAAACGGCAAAGAAAGTGAGAGAGACAGAGAGAAAGAAAGAGAAACAGTGGGAGAGATACACACAGTAGATCGGCAGAGCAAGTCCTAGACAAAAATCTCCTGCCTGCTTTCCCTTTAACACTTGAAAGTAATCAATCTAGCCTGCTACACGATACTTACGGTCCGCCTCTCCTCCACATCCCACCCATTCCTCTGTCCTCGTCCAATCAGAAACGACTCGTTTTTGCTTCTATTGGCTCTGCTGACTGTCCACAGGCTGTGTAATTCCAACTCCACCTCACACATTCTCCACTCCACCCCTTTTCACAGAGAGTCAACTTCCTGTTTTAAGTTACCTTGAGCAGTAGGATAGGGGTCAGGGAATGAAAAAAGGAACAGAGAGAAAAGAACAGAAAAAGAGAAAGTGGGGGGAAAAAAAGGACGTAACAAGGGCGAAGGACGGTCTCTGTCTGCTAGCCTCTGAACACTCTCTCGCTCCTTGCAAATCTCCCTTCCTGCAGTAGCTGAACGGAGCTGGACTGAACAACTGGTTCCACTAACAACTGTCCCTTGCTTATTTACAATGTCAAACAAAATGTCTCTAGAGCCCGCCCCTCAGAGGAGCGCACTGGCCGACTGAATGGTGATGCAAATCGCCTCAAGAGCAGCCATTGGCTCAGAGGAGCGTCAAAGCACATGCCGCATGCTGTCGCCGGATGATTTAAAGTGGAATGTCATACAGGGCAGATTTGCAGTCACATACGTGTGCAAGGACATCTGTGCACTAAAGCTGCAGAGAGTGTGCAGTTTACTGGCAGGGTTCAAAATGTTAGTACAACGTTACGTGCAGGACATTCTGCCATTTCAACATCAGGAAAAATACTGACCAGCAGAGATTACCTCAAGTCATTTAGCCTGAATACAGTCACAGCTGTCAAATGCAGGAATGGACAAACACATCTAACCAAAACAGACACAATTAGCCAGAAAAGGCTACCATCTTACTATCAATGCTGTTCTGCATCACAATTGTTACTGTGTAGCGCTAAAAATTAACACATCTCAATGAAGGTTATTCCAAGCACAACAGAATGTCGCAGTTCAAGCAGCATGTTTCTTGGAAAGCCTGTGTTACCAATTTAGCCCGCGCACTCCTTATTTCAAGAAAAACACACAAAAAGATCACATGCAGAACTGCACCATTACGCAAGCAATATTTATTAAAATTTCAACATTTCAAACTTGAAACAAACAAGCTGACCAGAACACACTCGGACAATTACCAAGAAGACAGAACAGGTAAAAGCAGTGGATTATTTATTTTTCTTTCTTCTAAAGGATGCAGGGGATGGTGGAATGACCTCAAGGTTATTCCTGTCATTACAGCAAATCCCTACTGTTCTGAGAAACTAGACAGAGGAAAGGGAAACGCACAGACCTGCATAGTCAGGGAGTGATGGGGGAGGGGCAGAGATAAAGGGTACGAATAGAGGTTAAGTTTTACAGGTATAAAATGTACAGACACTAAAAGAGTGGGTCACCACAGAGCTCAACGGAGGCAAAGCGTTACTGTTTTCAAGTGTATTAGACAAGCAGTACACTGGTAAATGATTACACAGCAACAGGGCACAGGAGATTATGGGAACAGCTGGCCAGAGCGCCATGGCAGCTTTCTCTACCTGCAACACCATCTCGACTCCTGCTGAGGTCAGTGATCAGTTTTTTCTCCCACACTATTTGGGTCTAAAACTGCACCATCAGAGGTGGGTATAAGTAGTGGTAAACCGTGACTATTAGAGCTTGGCCTTTAGTTTTGGGCCATAATTGTCAAAACTCAAGAAAACTCACCTTTCTGATCATACTAATCTCTGTTAGGGCCCCTGTGGGATTCTGGTAGTATGTTAGTGCTAGGCTACCATTGATTCACAAACACATTCTGGCCACTCTAGAACAAACAAAGACATCCCACATTTTATTTAAAGCCTGTAACAGACACATTAACATATTTTACCTTCTACGTAGTTTCACAGTGATCTGTGGTATAGAGCCGTCACTGGCGTTTCTTATTTCCTAACTATTTATGACTGCCAGAAGGCTTAGAGTGACTTTTTCCCTCAAACCCATTGGGAATAACTGGATGATGCCACTGTGCATTCCCAATTATATTAATGGTTAATCTGAAAAGTTAGTCCAGGTCCCATGTGGCTGTATCCACCTAGATACAACAAAAAACAAAAAAATTCTGAATGGATATCCTTTTGTTTCCAGCCAAAACCTAACAGCGAAATATGAGTATTCCTGCAGTTTCAATCCCAGCATGATTACATTAAATAAAAATGAAGAAAAAATGAGACATGCATTTTTTATTTCACAGAAATCAAGAATGCCTAGAAGGCCTCAAGGGTTACACTCAGGTGGACCATAAATATACATATATATAAATATATACACACACACACACACACACAGCAGATTGCTCACAACAATTCCTTCAATGTGCTCGCAATATAAGCAAAATCAGAAACATTGACAGTTTATGGACTTAAGAAGAAGTAAAAGAACATTAAGTCTGGCCAAACTGACCACTCAAGTGCCAATGATATAAGACACAAGGTTACCGTTAAAGCAGTCAGCCACTCTACTCAACTGCTTCTTCCACAGAGAAGCGTCACTTCCTGTGTTACAGCAGCATCTACTGCCTTTGGGTAATGCGGTTTAACATGGCTGAAATATTAACGGTGAAATTTAACTCAGTTTTCATTCATCAATCTCATCTTATAATCAGGACAAATCAATCTAATAGTCCATATGCTACGACTGGCAGTAATTCACTGCAAATAGGCTAATCAGAGTTTATTAGATAAACAAGATCAGCACATAATCTTTTGTAGTCGACTGCAAAGGCTTTCCATTAAGCAAAATCCTGGCTTGAAGGTTGGGCTGAGGAGCTTGTTTTAACTACATCTGATTATTTTGGATCGAATAGACGCACAACTTATAAAGTCTGTTGGCAATCAAAGATTTAGGGGGTATGTATCACTATTATGTAACATAAAAGGTGTATATAGCAATATTTGATCTACATTCATACAGCAATTACATAAAGGTGACAGCTCGTCTTTTAATGAGTGGTAGTTACATCTATACATGAAACGTTAGGAGCAGTTCACAACCTCATGACTGTTCTGTGGACTAACCTAAATCTTCTGAACACTCGGTATCAAAGTAGGGTCTAAACGTAAGAAATGTTTTTAAAAACAATGATTATAACAACAACAAACCAATAATAATAGTACTACTACTACTACTACTACTACTACTACTACTAATAATAATAATGTATGCTGTCAGTAATGCTCTATTAAAAAAAGTCCGCAATACAGACATACTGCTAAAACATGAAAGCACATGTAGGATAAGCATTTTAAACTTATTTATTTGGGCAGGTTAGCTACTGCAGTAGGAATTAGCTAGCTAAGCTACGTAGTTTTATTTTGTTTTAAGAAACAAACGTAACATTGAACTTGTAGCTACTTTAGTTATGCACTAAAATGAAACTCACTTCAACATTTGAAGGGCTAAGTTACGTTGAGGGTCTACTTTACATAGCTATATCTTCTGAATGCTGGTGAATAGTTTGGGTTTTTGATTTTTTTACAAGAGCTAGGTTAATAGCCATTGGCTATGTGATGTGCTTGCCTTGGCACAAGACTTGTTTACTTGATCATTAATAACGCTTACATCGACCCTAAATACAAGCAAGTGTGCTTATGGCTTAGGAGCATGCAGTCTGAGCCTATGCAGCCACAATTAGTGAAAGCGGCTAAATTAGCGGGAACGGACACGGTGTTAAACACGAGCCGCTGAAACTTTGGAGACAATGCTCGCTATTATCAGCAGGCCGAATGTCTTCTATGATGTTCGCTAAAAGAGGAGCCATACGTACGGCGAGGTAACCTGCCCTATACCAAAGTTTCCTAAAATATTTGTAAAGCGCTGTAAAGACATACTAACCAATAAAGACTACGTTTGGATCTGTCCTTCAGACCAATCAAACCTCGGACTAGATTCCACCAATCAAGCTTTCTAAGGGCTGTGATAGTTGCGAAACTAACGCCATTCGGGCTCAAGGTGCACCAAACACCTCAGTATCCGCATATGGTAACGAGAGCCAAAATGCCGGGCCGTAGTGCCCAGTTTCCCGACCGCCTCCATTCCTCTCCACTAGCCACCAATAAGCGCCTCAGAGAGCGAGGAGGGAAATGGCGCCCATGTTCATCCTCCAAAACAATCATTGGATGAGGCCGTTCATTGGCCGAGGGCTCTCGCATGACCTCAGCCTAACGTAAACTCTACAGACGATAACAAGAGAACATAAGCAGACCCACACGTTTTACTTTTGTACTCACTTTGCCTTCTGAAATCGTAGAGTAGTCCGCTTCGGCGTTATTTTTAATTTAATTCAAGGTGCTACAGGAGCCAAGATGGCCGACGCTTTGACAACTTCTTTTCAAACCGGAATTACGTTTACTGTGACGTTCGAAACAGAAACCCACCTCTAAAGCGCTTCAATTTTTTCACCGCCCGTTTTCCGGAAAGACCCGCCCTCCTGTGTTACTATTGGCTAAATGATTTTCACAAGTCGTCCGCTCATTGGACAGTGATGGAGATTGAGAAGCAAAACGAGGACTAGAATTCAAATTAATGATATATTTTAAAACGACTGTTTTACAATTGACGTTGCAACACGCAGTTTTACAGAAATCAGAAATCAGTGAGCAATACGAGGACGACAATGGTAGGACCTCCCATCAGGACGAAACCTTGCAGAGGCGTCCAGTCTCATCCACACAGGGGCGGTGTGGCTGCAGGCTTTTGTTACAGCCAAACTGGGGCACACCTGACCAACTGTTTGAAACCATTTGATTAAACACGTAGATTGAGGTGTGCTGCGTGTCTGTAACGGAAGTACACACAACCAGTTTGTCAGCAAATTTCCTGCCATCTGTATAAATATGTAGTATAAAAAAGTAAGCACTAACAATGTTCACCATCAGAAGACACTGTTTACTTGACTGCTTGTCAATTTAAAAATGACTGCTAATGCTTTTAATATTTGCTGGTACACTCTTTATAAGCATTTAACTATTAAAAAAAATGTCTGGGTGAGGCGTCTACAATGACTGCTTTCCTGAAAAGAAAAGAAAAAAACCCATTTACAGTCCTGCTCACCATTATTGGCACCCCTTCCTTTTTTTGCATAACCTGTACAATATCTTCAGAAATAAATGT